GACCCTTTGGAAGCAGCGCGTAAACTCGGTAAACTTGCAGTCAGCGCTGGCTTTGACGGCGTCCAGACGGAATAGTCAACTTATGACTGAGCACGCAGCAATTAGCGGAAAGCATGCCGCGAAACCGTTTTTGGAGAACGCGTTCCGCGTCAGCCGAATGGGAAGTCATTCATGACCATTGTCTCCTTACTCACTGGCGCACTTTCTTTCTAATACGGTGAAGGGGAAGTTGCCAGTGAGGAAGGAGCAATGGTAGTAGGAATTCTCCACCCATCGGTTAGAGAATGTGCCTTTAAAGTCACATTCCAGGATCCTCACGAAGTGTAGGGAGCACAGGAACGCAGCTGCATAGGATATGTACGTCACTCACTTTCGCACTTGGAAAGTGTGGTGCCGGGATTCCATGGGCTTGAAGTGAGCAAACTGGGCAGCCTTTTCTCGAGTTGACACGTTTCAGGATGGTGGCTAGACGATCTTACTCCAGCTTCACAAGCGTTCACAAGTTTTACCAGAGTGAGATTTGTAAACCGGAACTAGGGAAGCAATGGTAGTACAAAATGCCCCCCCGTCGACAAACAGCGCCGCTGTGTCTACTGTCCCTGCCTCCCAGGTCTGTAGCTGAGCGTCTCTCGTGTCCATTCATAGCGTGCTCTTCCAATACTGAAAGGTCGACAGGGCCTTGACTGGCCTCCTCTTCCCTTTATGAGTCTGCTGGAAGCGATAAGTTCATGATTGGAGCTGGCTACTCACGAGGGGTAGAATGTGATTTCAAACTAGAATTTGGGCTCAGTTCGATTTGATGGGGCATCAAGTAATGCTAAGGGATCATACACAGGCCATTTGGCTTGATGAGGCATCAAGTGCTGCTCAGGGACCATACACAAGCCAACCTTCTTGAAGAACTTGTAAATTCCTGTTGTAATTATTTGTGAGACCTGTCAGCTCTGAACAAGCGAAACCAACTAGCAAAAGGACAAAATGACCACCCCCCCTCCTCTTCCCTAAGCTGAACGACCCTCATTTTTGAAGTATTTGTGGCAGGTCATCCATGATCTGCCTTCTTCGACCGCATACGAGCTTTTAAAGGCAGTTGGCACCATAAATCCCCGAAGACGAGTAGGATTAATACCCTGAGCAGGCGCTGCATAATGCCTTTTTCAGGGGGTGGTGTCTTTTCTAAATTGCCCTATCGAAAGCACACATATTGCGACCGGCAAACACCCGCTGCGGCCCGCCCGCCACAAATGGACGAGCCATTGCTGACGCTCATGGGATTGAATTCATTTGGCTGAGGGGGCAAATTATGAAGGCGAAGGGATTGTTATGAAGCGGCCGTGATGCTGCATGGATATATGAGTAGCACATACCCGGTAGCGGTTATTGGCAAGATGCCTACAGGGAAACTCGTCCAAAATTGATTTCTAACACATTGAGAACGGAGGCTCTTTCTTCGCAGGATTTTGACCGTTTCACTCCGTTCTTTCGCCATTTCCCCACTATATAGCGCCCTACTAGCATTTTAGGCCGAGCACCAAATCATCGTGCCAACTGCCTTTAAGGAGAGCACAATAAGATGGTCCTACTAGGGCAGCTGGCTGCACGTTAGCTGATACGAACACTGCCTATTTCAGATATTCTTTCAGCAGGTTTACTTGTGGTCACTTGAACAGTAACAGTTTAGGGTTGCCCGTTTGTGTATAATTTCGAAAGTGGATCTACTCCACCAACACAATCAGAGCTGAGAAGACTACTGGCAGAAGGCTTTTTGACCCATGAGGCAACCGAATGTACTGTCCAACCAGAAGCTGTACAACTCAACGGCAAGCTTCAACTACGGTGCAGCGATTGTGGATTTCACACAGTGATCATTTAGAACACTTCAGCGTGTTTTCTGGGTAGATCTCCTTGTTATTTGAATTCGTATTACGCGTTGATGTGGACGGAGACAGGGAACCCCCTCCCATTCTTTATTGTCTTGAAAAGAAGGACATGCGAGGGGAGATGCAGAATTGTATCCTGTCTCCGCCCATTCGATTATCGCGGAATATGACTTTAAGCTTCTAGAATTGTTTCTCCACTAGGATATTCCCTGTATAGCTTCTCTTGTAACGGTTTACATATCTTCTCATGCGCCTTTTGTGCTTATCTTTCAATCTGTTAATGTTTACTTGTGAATTAAAAGCCCGTTTCAGCACACTAGCCGGTGCTCATCGATCTGCCTCCTCCATTTCTACGTGTCGCTTTAGTTACTTTGTTATCGATTTGATCGATAGTTCTTGTGTTTGTATATCTGCGAGTTTACTGTATGTCTTTGTAAATAAACCTCTAGAGGTGTTCTTACTTTGCTGATCGCTGGATTTTGGAGCTGCAATTTGCGGACTCAATCACTGGGTATGGAACTCTGAAAGTTCATCCTGATAGGACAGTCTCACATGTATAGTGGGCAAAGGTTCTACGAGTCGGGGGAAGGGGTAGGGGGAGGGCACATACAGGAAACTGGGCCGCCATGATCTAGCTCGGGTACACACCACCAACCTCTACGGGTGTGTTCAGCAACAATTCGAGCATCAACCGACCGAGCCACTTGAAGCCGAGGTAGTGTATCCTCAGGGTGGGTTGTTTAGTGCTGGCGAAGATCCTGCAGTCCATATACGAGAGCAGAAAGGGGTGTTTCCAAGTACGATCGCTGACGGCTACTGTACCGGCTACCGGCTGCTGTACTGTACCGTTTCTTACACATTCAATATCCCTGCAAACGAAAGGGCTTGTGATGGGGCGCGGATTGCGGCACGGGCAGGGCAGCCTTTTCCACCAACTGTAGCGGGCTCTAGATTGCTTCATATGGTCACGCCTCCTCACACGCCCTCTCGTTGGCATGGATGACGACTTTACTTGCGTCCTCGCCCTTATTTCGCCTAGAAAACTGCATCGCCTCACCCACAACTGCATAATAATTCTCAGACGTACTGTATCCTGGAGTTGAAAGTGTGATCCATGTGTGATTCTTCCTTGAGGGCCGGCCCATAATAGACGCGTCTGTCTGAGCATTAACACGAGAAATGGCAGAAATTTAGAATTGAAGATTACAACAGTATTGCATTTAGCACTCCGGTGGATGTAACTGTAAGAAACTACCAAAAAAGCACTAACAAGGAATCGCTGGTTCCATGCTTGCGAATAACAAGGTATGCAGCAACTGAACAGAAAATGTGCCAGCAGTTTCAAAGCACAGTGGTAAAAAGGAAGATTCCGAATGAGAGGGAAGTAGATGAAAACTGCCCATTACTGCAGCCACTTATCAGTGCTCTGATATCTCTTGTTTGAAGATTTCTCGCATTTTAGCCACTTTTGATGGTAGCACATATAGTATATAGCAGCAGCTTCTGCCATTCTGTACCGTTGTTCGGTGTTGCATTGACATGAGGGCAACTTGCATTGCAGGGCGATGAGAATGGATCCGGCTGATCTGCATGGATTTCGCCAATCAATATAATCTTTTACCAGTCTGCATCCCTTATTTGAAACTTTGCCCAACCTACCAGCATGGAATACGATTCAAGCGTGAGTGGGCACAGATGGTGGAAAACCACCTCATAGGCTTGTCGGGTTGCGGGTTGCGTTCGGTGCCTATCTGTGACCGAATCACCGCAAAAGTGCGGTACGATTGGGGTGTTTCTCGGGAGCACTGCCCAAGTCCGTTGTAGTGTACAACGCGCCGGTCCTACCCTCAGTCTGAGAGCGGTATGGGCTACCCCCGTTGATAGCCATGATCCTGAATGCGGGATTTCCTCATTGACAGACAAGCCTTGCTCAGTTAGGCCTGTCCGTAGTTTCTGGAACGGTCGACTTGATGGTCGAAATCAATATGACTATCCACAGTAGGCAGTTCTGTTTAGACCTCGGCCGATTTCATGCCAAAAGGCTCACCACACAGTCGTCCATGTGATTAGTCTGAGAATTTTTGAAGAACTTGTCGAAGAATGCAATTTTAGCAAGAAAAAAATGGTCCGTAGCAGGAATGAAACCTGGACCATCATACGAACAGGGCCCTACATGGCTCTGAAAAAGTGCCATCTGTGTACTCGAGAGGAACACTTTTGAAGGTTGTGATAGACCTTGCACTCCACGCGCGCCACGTCATTTTTTTTCGACCCCTACGTTAGGGATTTTTGAGGACTGGATGGCTACCCCTGATATGGAGGCAGAGTGATGATCCGATGCGGTCATCACATAGACACCCTCTTCAGCCGTCATAATGCTAGACAGCTCTGAGCGGGTCTTGCACCACATCGAAGAATCCTACGCACAGATTCCCCTTCGGCGACTGGAGGGGCCGCTACTCATCGACATTGTACGTTGGGGATCCCAATGAGGTGAATCGTGTTTGCTCTGGGAGAAACGCTTCCTGTTGTTAGACTTCCTGCATTTTCCCGTTTCGTGTGCCTATACCACCCCCCCCCGCTCGCACAGCACTTCTTCGGGCAAACTGAAATATTTCGGGGGAAGAAAAAAGAAGTGAGAGGTGGTAGGAAGTTGAAAGTTTAGGGAGATGGCGGGTGAAACGGGGGGTGAGGAAGGGATCGTATTTTGCAGAACTATTTCCGTCAGCAGGCCACTATTCGGTGTGCCCATCATCGATCCTCCGTGTATACTCGAAAATCCCTGAGATCGGGTAGGGGTGGCCGCATGTTTCAACTCTGTAGGTGTCTATACTTCTGGTGAGATATTTTCATCTTCACACAATTTTGTCATGTCCTGTCCACACCAAAACAAGAGACTTTGTCCGCAGGACTGAATATTCTCACGAGTAACCAGTTTCGTGCCATGTTCAAATGCCACACCTACTCTAGCTCAGGGATAAGGAGTGTACCATAGAGACGGGACCAGGCCAACATGCAATGACCCGACAGGCATATATCAAATCAATTATCATCGATTATCAAGTGAACCGTCCGTTTTCCTTGCAGTGTCTGTCCTTTTCAATGGTGTCGTGCTTACAACATCTTGCTTCTTGCTGCCCCCGCATTGCGTAACGCCGCGTCTTAGAAAACGAAAGGAACAGATATAACTCGGTCACGTCATCCCTAAACAGGCAGCAAAATGATATTAATTCGCTCTGCTTCTGTTGACAGTCTCCTGTCCATCCTCGCTTAATGAAGGGTTCTTCTTCAGAAGCGCGCAGAGGAAGCACGGCCCTTGTCGCCGATTTTACGGCGGTGTTCTCTTCTCTACTTTTTTGTGCTTTGGGTAAAATTGCAGTAACAGTAAACCGTTACCAAAAAATATCGTGACCATTCACGAGAGACTGCTCCGCTTTAAAGACTGCCCCCGCGATCAAAGTGGCTCGTGGTCAGCTTTGCTGTGCAAGTAGTCCAGCCTCCAAGCTAGTAGACTGCTCACCTTTCGCGACTCTATTGTGAGCGTGAAGGCTGCTATAGCCGCTCAAAGTGCTAGTTCTAACTCCTCCTCAGTCGGACCGCCTTTACTTGCTAGATGTCCTCCGACGGAGGCCACTCACTTGTTCTTAGTTGGGGCGGCGGGCATTGCTAATGCCCCTGGATAATTCTGCTGCCCTTTATTACAGTTTACTCATTGGAGGTATATACATTCAATTCAACTCATTTCGCGAGGTGAAACGCGTAAAAAACACGAGTGGCGCAATTTTCGTGATGCAAAACCACGACGCACAAAAGGCGCGCCTACCGTAATCACAAATTCAGTCAACGTGTTGATAAAATTCCTTTTTCCTTCCCAGAGTTTTTCCTCTGCGTTTTTGTTGTTTTCTTTTTGTATTCTTTCTTTTGCACTGGATGATATCAACTACTGTGAGATGTGATAGAGAGATTTGTGAGCTAGGGGTTGCACAGAGACCGCCAGCGGAGGTGTTGACGTTTGAGGAGCGATTTTGTTTTTGTTCTGGAGAACGCTTCTTGCCTGTTTTCTTCTTTGGGAGATTACTTATCAGCTGCTGTTTCATAATTGGAAAGCAGCTATCCATGAGACTTTTATCGCGGGAGCTGTCTTAATGGAAGCAGCCCTTTTGACACCAGACCAGTCAACCCCATGGCAAATCACCACCCAGTTCGATACTATTTCTGCAACATAATTTCACCTGAAATTGATCATCGCGCTCTTCCCACGAGCTGCACCTCCATATAGAAACGAAATTTTTGGGTGAAAAAGTGGAAAATGTGGGAAATTGGTAGGTAGGTTTTGGGTAGGGGGGGGGGTTGTGCTGTGCCGAGACCCTCATTTAAGTGGGGTGGGGCGGTCGTACTGACAATCTCTGTCGAGGGGGGGGAGGTCGTACCTACAGCACCATTCCACACATGACGATGCTGTACCCTGTACCCAAGTATGCCGCAGAATCACGCGCAAGAACTACATGGGTTTTCTGAGCACATCCACCATATAACACATTGGACAAACCCACCTCGAAAGTTGATTGACCTCCCAGGCCATTAGAAAGACGTACCCTCATGGCTTGAGTCCCCAGTGCTGAAGTGAACCGTACCACTCCATCTTCCTCGAAGCCGGATGCACTTTAGTGAGTGGACGAAGTGCTGTAGCGATTGAAAGTTTACTTCAATCGGTACAGAACTGCAGCGATCCGTCCCGTCGAACCATCTCCACAACATGCGGGGACGACAGACGTGGCCGGAGGGCACCTCCTGGCGTTGGGTAGAATGTCCCCAACTTCCCCCGGACCTTTTCCTTCGACACACCCCCTTCCACGACCGACCATTTTTTCAAAGTTATCACAACAGTGCTGAGTTGTGACCAAAAGTCAGACCATGGGTGGGATTCTTGACTTGCGGATCGCGCACTGCGGCGTTGAACAGCAGTGATCAACAGTCACATCTTATCAAAATT